AAATTTTTTATTTTTACAAAATAAAAAAATTACCTCTTAAATAAAAAAAATTAATTACATAATTATATAATATATTATAAATTTGTAATATCAAAATAACTGAGATTATACCTAAAATATTTTTAAATAAATTCAAATAATAAATTCTTAAATCTCACATTATCTACCGTAGATTAAAATTCAAAATTTTTTATTTTTACAAAATAAAAAAATTACCCTATACATATCAAAAAATAATTAGGAAAATGTCTGCATCAAAAAAAAAAAAAAGTTAGGAAAATGTCATTGAGAAAGTTGGAAAATTACAATTAAAGAAAATCAATTGAACTCCTCATCTCATCGGCGCTGACTGTAAATTCCACTCGAATTAGCAAAAATCCTTCTTAATCCCTCAAACTTACCTCAAAATAGAATTTAAGTCCTCAACTAAAAATGAAGTAGATAAGCCCTCCAACTCTACTAATAATGCAAATAAACTCCCCTCATTCATGGGTGTTTACACTTTTAAGATGATATTAATGAGCATGTTTGGTGGAGCTTATTGGAGTTTTTGTTTTTTTTTTTTTTTGTACTATTCATAAGTGATAAGTTTAAATTTTTATTAGAGGAAAAATTTAAAAATTATTTTTAGAGATAAAAAAAAAATAAATAAAGAGTTTATAAAAAGTTTGAATTTGAAGTTTTCGATCGTTTACTGTTTAAGATCTTTTTAAGATTAAAAACAATTTTAAAATATAAGATTTTAAGAGAAAAATTTTAATTTATAAAATATGAATAGTATCAAAAAATTGAAATTGTTACAAGCTACACCAAACCCCTCATTCATGGGTGTTTACACTTTTAAGATGATATTAATGAGCATGTTTGGTGGAGCTTATTGGAGTTTTTGTTTTTTTTTTTTTGTACTATTCATAAATGATAAGTTTAAATTTTTATTAGAGGAAAAATTTTAAAATTATTTTTAGAGATAAGAAAAAATAAATAAATAAAAAAGTTTATAAAAAGTTTGAATTTGAAGTTTTTGATCGTTTACTGTTTGAGATCTTTTTAAAATTAAAAAAAATTTAAAAATATAAACTTTTAAGAGAAAATTTTAAACTTATAAAATATGAATAATATCAAAAAATTGAAACTGTTAGAAGTTCCACCAAACAGACCCACAGTATGTGAGAAAGGCTTCTTTGTATTGTTAATAGACTTAGAGGGCTTATCTGCTTCATATTTAGTTTAGGAGCTTATATGCTATTTTGGGATAATTTTAGGGGCTTAAGAAGAGTTTTTGCCACGCGAATTTTGGCCTAAAATTGATTTCACATTCAGACTTTTTGCTCTGTTCTTTTATTTTATTTTATTTTTGATTCCCTTCCTTTTGTCATCGAATATCCAACATGTGTTTTGCACAAAAAAATTGGGAAGTCGATCTTTCTTTGTTTCTTTGTGTGATTTCTTCAAAATCCCTAAGCTGAGGTTTGATTTTGGGATTTGAGTTTGGGTTTTGATTCAAATTCAGCCCCTCATCAAATCCTTCAATCTTATCTAATTGGATAGCAGAAATTCATCGACGACGATATGAAGAGATTGAAATCGAGCGAGGATCTCAATTCCTATGAGAAGAATGCCAGCAAAGAGTCGAATCAGAATCTGAATCGATCGTTATCGTCTCACAGGAGTAGCAGTGGCAGCGGCTTTTACTACAAATCCTCCTTCACCTCGGATAACAACGCTCGAAGTAAGAGTAATCTCATCTCTCCTTCGTCTCGCTATGATCGAGATCGATCCAGTGTCGACGAGGATAGTAACAGGGAGAGGGATAGGGACGGATTGAGGCTGGTGAGGAAGCGATCGGACCATGATTTCGAGAGTTCTGACGGACGGAAATTATTAGGGTTTGATCGGTACAGGGAGAGTGGTGGCAGCAGCAGTATTATTTACAGGTCGGAGAGCTTCTGTGGGCCACG